TCGAAGAAAATCTGGGGTCTGATGGACGAAAGTGTTCCATTATCTTCCTCGACTTCAAATAAGTATATGAAAACAGGCTGGTCTAAGTGAGGGGTTCCTGGACCGGTACCTACATCAACCCGAGGGTCAATGTGACAATGTGACTTGCCCTAAGGGTCACTTCAAATTTCAACAGCACGGAATGCCCTCCAACAACGCCCCTGCCGTCCAAGCCAAACTGACAGAGGAGCTCGGCGGACCAGAATGATCACCGTGGTGAAATGAGATACTGATAAGGCGGCTTATCCCGCGCCCTGGTAGGGATCTGTTTATAACGCGACCTGGTGGTGGTGGTGGTGGGGGGGGGGGGGGGAGGCTATCCAAAACTACTTGATGGATCCAGAAATTCAAACGGTGTTCGAAAGCCCTGTCAAATTTGTCGAAGGAACTCCAATTTCATTGACCTCGGCGTCACCGATGACGTCACAGGTCAGGTCGAAGATAAAATATTTTGCCGTTCACGGGTCTTCTAGGGAATGTACTATAACATCGAGTAAAACATATTTTATCGAAAATCAGCGATACGGCGTCAGTTGCCTCGTACATATGCTGCTATTAGAGGTCACTGATAATACCAGGTCAGGTCAGAGGTCAGGTCACCAAGGGTCAGCAGTCAGCACATGAACCCAATTTTACTAGGGCCGTGCGATGCATGTTTTATGGCCAAGTTTTCATTTCCAACTCAATGGTGTTGGTTATATGACCATCAGGAACGGTTAAGGTCACTTCCTGGTGGAGGTCAAATCAATGTCAGGTCAAAAAAGGTCAAATTTCAAAGTTGATAGTTCTGCATAAAATGGGTATTGGTTTCATGCAGCTCGTCACGGGGAGTCTAATGGTGGCCTTTGTTTTGCGCTACGTGGTCTAGAATTGCTAAAAATTGAGTTTGAAAATTTGACGTCATCATTTTTGAACTTTTTTTTGCTATTTCTTGGCCAAAAAAAGAGATATCAATCTTAACCCGCGCGGGGCTGGGGTCTCCAGCCGAACGCGCGGGGCTGGGGGGGGATAATTTTACCCCCTGTTATCTCCCGAACTAATGGTCCGATTTGGAAAATTCAAACGCCAATCGAAAGATCTCATCACGAACAACTAAAAACATGTACTTAATTTTAAGTTTGAGGTCAAGGTCAAGGTCAGGTCAAGGGTACAAATTGCAAGTTCCTAACTTCCTACAGTATCGGCCTTGCACTGTAGTTGCCGAAGAATGGAGTCATGGACTTAGACTGATCGCCCAAAACGTGTTCTTAGGCTACCAAGACAGTATTCGTTGCATACAATATCATTCAGAGGTCAAGGTCAAGGTCAGGTCAGGTCAGGACAGGTCACCAAAAACAAAATATAGAAAAGGGCATGTGCGACACATGTTTTATGGGTCATTTTACTCATAGAATTGAATAGGCACACTCAATAAGTGATATGGACCACCTCTGGATGAATTTCAGGTCGAGGTCAGGTCAAGGTCAGGTCAAGTGAGGTCAAATTTTGAAGTTGGTTGTTAAGGCCTAAAAAGGTGTCTATCTGATGCAGTTTTTCACGGCAAATCGAATGGTGCTATTTTTGTTTCCGTACGAGGTCTAGAACTTCCAAAAAAGTCATTTTTCAAAATTTTTGTGTGTCGTGACTAGAGGTCGAAATGAATATTAGTCATTAGTCAAAAATTAGTCGACTAACGTTAGTCAAGCACATTTTTAGTCAGTCAAAAGTCAGTCAACCAAAATGTTTGTTAGTCATTAGTCAGTCATTAGTCAATGATTTTGTTGCATATTAGTCGACTAATTTGTCGTGATTCGTGAGGTGACTTAACCCTCGCCCTGACAGGGGAGGGGTCGATGCGACCCCCCCCCCCCCCTGAGTTTTTTTTTGCGATGCGCGCTGAACTATTAGTCGGATCGTGCTGAAATTTTCAATAGCCTCTGGGGTATCCTTAGCACAACTTTTGCTAGACAAAAAAAAATCGGGTCATGTCAGTTCACCGAGCTATGACGTCATAATAAGTACAACCTCCGACCGTTTTTGACAAAATCGTACATACCGTAACTGGACGTGATCTCATCGACACGAACGAAGCTATTCCGTGTGGTTTATGTCAGAATTTGAGTGGACATGATCTTTACATTGTATATTGACCATTCTAAGGTCAACCAAGATGATCTCGCATGTTCACACGCTGACCTCCGTGATATGAGCTGTGTTTAGTGTCCGTAGTGGGGTTTCTTGAGGTCCTGAATCCGAATCTGCGGTTCAATTTCCACCTAAACGCCTTCAAAACTGTTCCTACAAGTGGCAGTGAACTCCCCACTTCCCCAGGTCTCCGGTTGACGGGCGGCCGCTGCTGCTGCCGGTCAGCGAGCATAGCCTTGCGGCTTTTTGGGCCAGGTACCGTGGTACGTGACGTCATTGAAAGCCTTTTTTATCACCATAAAAAGTCATAAAAAGTCAACGATATGTAATTTTGCAGCTGAGGAATACGCTCTTCTGAGGAATACGCTCTTCGAAGTTGCAAGTCTCTATCTTTCATAGACGCACCAATGTTGACTCGATTAGTTGGAAAGCTCTCGATATTCGCAAACGTCCTCGCCAGCGGCGGGCGTGGCCTCCCATGTTCCCGGGGAATACGTCACGCCAGTAATGACTGAAATGCAGTCAACTATTCCTCATTTTGTTGCTAATTCGTTGCGAAACGCGGTCGTGAAAGTTTCATGACGCTATCTTTCATAAATTCGCCAATATTGGCTAAGTAATCTGGAAAATTATAGTTTTTCTACGAAATTTGACCTTTGACCAATGACCTGTCATAACTGGGTCAAATATTGACCCATGGTAAAAATATACCACCAATCGCGAGTACTCGTTGAGACCAATCGACTGGTCTTTGTTGCGAAACGCCACGACGCTTAGTTTCGAAACGCCAGAAGGATCGCATCGACCCCCCCCCCCCCCCCAGCCAGGCCGCGTTACGAAAAATGCCCTGCCAGGGCCGGGCGAGGGTTAACCCGCGCCCCACTGGGGGTCGCCGGCCGAATGCGCCCGGCTGGGGGGATAAATTTTACCCCCCCCCCCCCCCCCCCCTCCTCCCCGCCTGTTATCTCCCTAACCAGGCGTCGTAGCGGCCGACAAGATATCTTGCGGTGGCTTCGCATCGCGTTGGCCATAAAATGATTAGGGAGAAAATTTGGGATCGATTTGTGTTTTTCCGGTGTCGATCGGAATTATTTACGCAGTGCTAACAAATTCCGAAATTTAGTCAAATATTAGTCAAAATCAAGAAAAATGGCGTTAGTCATTCATTAGTCAATCAAGCCTTTTGAGACCAAAGATTAGTCAGTCAAAAGTCAGTCAACCGAAATTGTCATTAGTCATTAGTCAGTCATTAGTCAAGATTTTGGAAAACGTTAGTCATTTCCACCTCTAGTCGTGACGTCATAAAATTTTGAATAACTCCCACATTTTTGAACCGATTCTTCTAAAACTTGGTATGTAGGTGCACATAGACCACTTCTCTGACATATATTCCGTTTTTTTCGATACACTCAAAATTTTGGATTTTATAATTATTTTCCCAAAAAAGTCAGTTTTTTGAAAAAATTGGGGCCAAAATCCAAAATTTTCAAAAAACCGATATAGCCATCTGATAGACAAAGTAGAATTACGTATATCCTTTTTTTGTTACGTCTTGATTCCTTTAAAAATGAAGATGTTAGCGGCGCTTGAACTTTTGCCGTTTTTGAGGCGAAAATGGCGAACATGACGTCACTAAAACGTCAATTTCTCAAAAATTTTCCGACGGATTTCGCTCAAAATTTCAGAGAACGTGTCAAATTGATGTAAGAAAAGGTACTGAAAGTTTGGCGGCGCTGCGCGCCGCCGTTTTTGAGATATTGCAAAAATTCGCGAATCCCCCCAGCCCCGCGCGGGTTAAGTTGGGTATGTAGATAGAACACGTTAGATACTATCATATATATTCCGGTTTTTCCAAAATTCGAAAACTTTTTTGATTTTTTGCTAATATATAAAAAAGTTTTTTTGGTTTTAAGGGGTCAAAACTCAAAAATTTCAAACATCAGAGATAATAGTTTTGTAGCCCTGTCACTTTTACAGCTTTTGTGATCTTATCATTTTTCTGCATCATAAAAGCTTTACATAGGCCTGGAGCTCTTCCCGCGAAACCTTTTTTGGGTCGCAAACGGCAGAACATGACGTCACTCTGACGTCATTTCCGGCCAACCCATCATTGCCGTTGGAAAATTTTTGTCACAATGTGTAAAATTGACGCCCGGGAGGGTACTGGAAGTTTGGTGACGATCGGCACAGCGGTTCTGGAGATATATTGAAAAGTCTGGAGACCGGCAAAAAATACCCCCGCCCCCCCCCCCCCCCACCAGGGCGCGGGTTTTTCTCCTAACCTTAACCCGCTTGACTAAGGCGTGCTACGTGTTTTGCATTGACTCAAGTGAGCTCTAGGCCACCTCTCATCCCAACATGGAGTCGCTGACCCCCCCCCCCTCCCCCCCCCCCCACGCACGACACGGAAAACACAGGCCACGGAAGCGCGGCGCGGGTTAATATCGATGTTAGGGCGAGTTCCCGAAATCGGCGGATCGGCGGATTTCCTAGGAAATCTGCGGAGCCACCCATTTCGTAGACTCCCTCGACATCGACAAATCACCATTGTAAAGCTTCCAGCGATCCTGGAGATAACCCATCACCTTGCTCGAGCATTTTGACAAGCACACCCGATCCAGTGAGCTCTACTCGAGGCCTGGTTACGTGACGGGGCCGCGGCATGGACCCGCCTCACTTATTACCCCGGCAATTACGACCAATCACTGTATCGAGCTCTCGCCGAGCAATAGCCCGTCACCGCGGCAATATGGCATATCGGTGATTGGCTTGGGAAGGGGACGGAGCGCGGCTCTGGCCGGCCGTCCAGCGCCCGGTCTGTCGCGCCGCGCCGCTCGTGGCCTGTGGCGGCCGGCGGCCGGCTCTCCGATGCCGAGCCGAGAGATCGGCGCTGGCGACGGCCGCCGTCCGGACCCGCCGCGCTCAGTGATCAGCAGACGCAGCGGCAGAGCCTCCGACCGGCGTCCGGACCCGCCGCGCTCAGTGACCGGCAGACGCAGCGGCAGAGCCTCCGGCGCCGCGCTCAAGGTGGGAGTCCCGACTGACAGTGGCAAAAAACTCAGCCTCTGCGTTAAGTTCTGAGAAAAAAGCTCAACTACTGATTAAGTACACTTCGCTTATTCTTGGAAATTTCTAGGAATTTGGAAGTTGCTTTGCTCTGCTGTTGATCGAATGTCAAGTAAATTACTCATTAACCGCCACCAGCAGCATATAACTTTCTACTCAATAGTACAATGGTTTGGAACTTTTCCAATTATGTAGGCATATTATACTTATCACCCAATGTCATTGGCATGGAAGTATCTTTAGGCATCGACACCCAGTGCGGCACGTTAGCTCGTTTTTCATTCATTTCTAGGTGACACAAATTGCAGCGAAGTTCGAAGCGATGTCGGTCGATTTTCTCGGCCGGGATGGATGGCTGTAGAAAACCGATAGGTCCGGCGAGGGTTAGGTAAACGGTGTTTTCGCTTCCACGCAAACCTGCGCAATCATTGCAATAGCTCTGAAACTGATATTGCGAATGACATGAAGCTTAACTTCAATTTTCCTGCATAACTTCTACCTTGTAGGCGCGTCGCTTTCTTAGATTTTTGGAACAAGTTTGAGTAGTTTCTCATCTTGTCACACAACTGTACATACTGACACCATGAGTCATCCTCGCATAGAAAATATAAGCATTCCATTCTTAGTATGTTTTATCAAAGATGCAAACAGGCAATAAAAAAGGCTCATCAATCAGCCGGCGCTGAATGATAATCTGTTCGCCGTCAGAGCTTATTTGGTGGTTGCATCTTTTCAGGTTTCCTTTTGCGCGCGTCCACTTCCGTAGCCGCGCGACGCCCGTAGGCTCAGCCCAATGCCTCCACCGGTCAACGTTCAGACCAGAGGAGCAAAAGTAAATATATCTGTGTGAATAAGCATCTCTAAAGTAGTTGAAAGTCACACATATGGTGCCTAATCTGCATGGACAGGTATTCACACACATACACGGCATTCCACTCTTGTGAAAATTGATCTCTGTTGCATGGCACTGACCGTATTTTGGTAAAGCTTGTTGCCTGATTATTAGTAGTTGCATCTAGATGAATAGGTATGCATAATTTACAAACCGATTCATTGAGCATTTGTTTACCGACAGTACGTGATCCTCGGCCGAGGAGCATATAGAGAATGGCGACGAGGACTGAGTCATCGGATTCGGATCGATGTCCATCGCCAATGTGTAAACTGTAATTAGGCACAACACCTCTTCCTGCGACCCTTCATGTTATTGTGGGCAAATCACAGAGCATGACGGCACTCCTTCGTGATGACCGGCCGGTGCGGCAATCAACATCCCAGAGTTATTTCTTAGTCTGCGACTCTGCATGCGAAGCATTGATATGGAAGGAGACCGCACTACGCGTCTCGCTACGATATGGACACCGCTTTTATTCACCACCTGTGACCCCCACCTGTGACCTCCTGTGTCCCTTGGTTAGCTCAGGTCATCAAAGGTCCCCAGCAGTTTTTTTTTTTTTGGCAATAGTTTTGATTTAGAAACATGGTAGAGCGAGGATAACTGTGTTCAGGTCGATGATACAGATCCACTGTCAATTAACCCGTGCCCTGCTGGGGGGTGTTTGAACACCCCCTTGCCGTTTTTCGCAGATATCTCAAAAACGGCGGCGCTCCGCGCTGCCGTTTTTTGGCACACCTGTTCATGCATCTTTTCTTCACATGTTGTGAAAATTTCAGACCCAATGCTCTCAAGGTCAGGTTGTGGCGAGCTCGTACTTCCTTTTATTAGAGGTCTTTGTTCCTATTTTATCACGCCTTATTTGATTCATGTTTATTTCCTTTTATTGTTGCTGCGATCGTGAAAAACAATAGTTTTTTTTTTTTGCTCAGAAAACCGAGTCAACGTCGATGTTAGAAATTGTTTTTAGTTCAGTGTGTGCGGCCTACTTTCAAACTGTATTGTTCTTTATTTCCGTCTCAATATAATTATATCATTTTTATCTTTTTGTCTCGGACGCCACAAGGTCACCAGGTCACGTCAACTGACCTTACCTCAGAAAAAGTTGCAATCCTCGTCATAACTACACCGACTGAACGATCGCCTTAAAACTTTCAGCGATTGATAAGGGTAACAGTATGTACAAAATTTATTTCTCGGAATTTTAATATGGGGGACCTAAGGTCAGGTCAATTTTGCGACCTCTCCATTAGGTATAACCCAGCCAGCCATCCCAAATGGGGCCCACATGGGCTGGAAGTGGGGAATCTGGGCGAATGTGGCCTGGGCCACATCTGTGTATGTCATGGGCGTCCAACTGGCTCCCAGATGTGCTAAATGGGCTAACTTTACGTGCTGGTGCTGGACTTGGTCAGCGCCTCCACTGTGCCGCTACCCTGCCTGATCTGTGCCGCTACCCTGCCAGACTCCTGATCTGGCAGCCGCCTGGGCATACCCCTGCCCGCGTCCCTGCGAGGTCGCTGATACTGTGTCGCCGGCGTTCGTTGTGTGGTGGGGCATATAACTCTGATTCCTTTTCTGGTATCAAAATAATACCAGTATAGCGCCTCTTGGGGCGACTAACGGAGCGAGCGAGGGGGTGAGTCTTGCACGTGCGAAATTTCGAGGGGGTACCTCCAACTGACTTGTGCACGGCAACCTACTGACCGGTTTCTAGCGATGTGCCAAATTTGAGCACAATCGGCCCAGCCGTTCTCGAGATCTGGGAGCGGCACCCTGCACGTGCGCACGTGCAAAATGGGTCCCAACTGACTTGTGCACGGCACCCTACTAGCTGGTCCCTAACCGTGTACCAAATTTGACCGCCATCGGTCCAGCCGTTCTCGAGATCTGGAAACGACCCCTGCACGTGCGCACGTGCAGCAGCACGCCAATTCTGGCACATGGATATGCAGTGCCTAGTGGGTGCCTACCTACATGCCAACTTTCAGCGCAATCGGCCAAGTAGTTACCGAGATATTGCAACAATTACAAAAGTGACACCTCTTCGTTTTGCACGTGGCACGTGCATAAGGGGTCACCCACATGCATCGGGAATAGTCCAATACTTGGTAGAAGGAATGAAGCTACCCTACAAAAATTACCGCATGTAAATCGGTCAAGTGGTTGCTGAGATATAAGCCTCGCAAAAGCGTCCGCACGGCCGGCCGGCCGGCCGGCCGGCCGGCCGGCCGGCCGCTCATACTCAGAAATTTCCGTTAATCTAAGGAAAGACTCCGCTCGCTTCGCTCGCTCCGTAATTAACAGGGTCTTGTAGGCAATTGATAAGGCTTTGATTTTTAATTATAAAATCAAATTGAAGTGACCTTGAAAGACAGAGTCAAGACATGCTTGCTTGCGTACACTTTCTGAAATGAATGATTGCTGATTAGTGGTATCCCAAACTCTGCGAGAATGGAAATGCATAGTCATCGTAGTCAAGCATTCAAGTTCCATAGTAAAAGTGTCTCAGACAAACAGTATTTTTCGGTGAATTTTGAGCCGTGTGGAAATGCATCATGAAGTAAATTCAACGAAAACATTATCACGCAACAATATCTTCACGTCTTTTTATCTTCACTATACGAAAGAACATACATTTTTGAGTATGTATGTATGGGGAATATCTATTTAATCCAATGACAAATATGGCAGTTAGAGGCCTGCTAAGAGTAACATGTCGCCGGCTGAGGCGGGATCGGCCGACGCGGGAAACGCAGCAATCACAATTTGGGTTTACACGTTCATATTTCAATTGTTTACCAACCGATTTTCAAAATTCTATCACCATAAGATTGCCTGTACATTTCTTAGTCTTCTCACAAAATTTGACGTGAATCGAACGTAATCAGCGGTAAGGAGCGTGATGTAAAGACGGAACCGTTCCGTTCCGTCCCGGCACAGTCTACAATTCAGGCGGCACGTAGCGGTCGGCGCCGGCTGCCGAGTCGCCGCGTCGCCGCGGCGACAGGATGTTCACTTTACACCGCTATTACTAGAACAGTTGTGAACCGATTTTCTTATTGCTTGCACGATGAGATGTGCAAATCAATTCTGGACAGGCAGCCATAATTAATTTCGCATTAACATTATGAGCTATGGGCGAATAACAGGAGGGGTGGGGCGAAATTCGCTCTTCCCCCTCCACTGCGCGTGCTAACATACGTTTGCATACATATGTGCCATTTTCTTCAAAACTTATGAATGGCCCACTCTAATTTTTTCACAGGTTGTTAAGAATATGGTAGGCAATAAAATATGTGAAAATGAGCCAAATCGAAGGTGGCGTGTTTTTTGCTATTTCAATTTTTGTGCTTGAGAACAGAGTTAAGCAAATTTCAAGGTCATATATTTAACCCTCGCCGGCCGAGGGGGGGGCGGGTGCCGCCCCCCCATAGGGTTTTTTCGCAATAGCTCCGAACACGCTGGCGATAGAGAGCTGAAACTTGGCATACCTGACCTTTGATTCAAGCCGGATCTTTTGACACCAAGCGCATTTTTGGGTCAGGTCAGGTCACTGACCTATGACGTCATAAGTGAACCTCTGCACGGTCTTCAGATGTCGCAACTTCGCAACGCCCTCACTGCCAGAGGAGATATCACAGGGAAATGAAACTTGCAGGATCTAGTATCCATTATGAGTCTCACAACTTGTATATCTCGGATTTTTCCTAAAGGTCATATGAGGTCAGGTCATTTTCGTGACCTCACCATTATAAGTCAATGGGGAAAAATGAAAAGTGCTATTCTGGTGCCGGGAACGATCTTCAACTATCTCAAGCACACAGAATCGCGATTTGATGCACTCCTTGCAAGGTTAGATGCGTCACTTTTGCAATGTTGACCTTGCGTGACGTCATTTATAGGTGGACTATTTCTTCTAATGTTTACAGCCCCTGAGCATAACCATTGCAAAGGTCACTGTGGTCGGTTGAAACGGCCTGTGTCCTGTTTCAACTGACCCTCAGAGAAGCGTTTCAATTGACCCCATCCGCTCCCGCCATTTCGCACGCGCCGTAAAGCACATGTCAAATGAGCTGGAGGGACGGCATCATGCTGAATGAGATGCCAAATAAAGTGACATTCCGGAGCCAGGAGCTTTTCTTTCAGCAAACAAAGATATATGAGATATCACAAAATATTCACAAAAACGATTTCTCCCAAACGCCCGTCAAAAACACAAAAACAAGTGCCAAATCAAAATTACCGTCCATTTGCCGCCAAAACGCCGTTGACAAAGGAAGTGGTCGAGCGCGCATGCGCAGTGGTGTCGGCAACGCTATCTGTTGCATACTGTTGAAATTAAAGCCATGTTTCATCAGTTTTGAACGAGTTTATGACGAGAGACTCCCAGTGCGAGGTTTTAAACTTCATACTACTGAAAACCCATTTGAAGGTATTTGACGTGACCTTGACCCGACCAGTGACCTCAAAATTCAACTTTCAAATGCTCATATGAAGCGTCTCGTCGCGTTCTGTCGTTTGTCGCCTCGTGCGTTTCACTGCGCCTATTGGTTCTCAAGTTATCGGCTGGGAGCGTTTATCAGCCCCCCCCCCCCCCCCAGTAAACGGTGGGTGGTGGAATATCCTAGTAACTGCCGAGTTAGAGGGAGAGGCAGAAAACTGTGAATCCCGTCTCAAATAACCGCACCTTACGGTATTTGTGTTTCCAGCCGTATCAGCCGCGGCCTGGCTGGCTGACCTGGTGTCGCGCCGCCCGCTGCCCGCAGGTGAAGGGATGCTGCGGCCTGGACCCGACCACCGGCCGCGGCAAGCAGATCCACCTGGCTCAGATGCTCTGCCTGCCCTTCATCCCCATCATGGCGCTCATCATCCAGAACGCAGCCAACATGATCAGTGTGCTGCAGTACCAGTACGAGATGCAGGAGACCATCAGCCAGGTCGGGACCGGACGGGTGTCGGCCAACACCCGTCCCCGGCGACGGAATAGAGCCACCAACGGCCTACCCTAGCTGCAGTGGTCACTGATCAGGCGTATACATTGTCTACAGCCAGCGGTGACATAGTTCACCGGATGCCATTGATTGTCAAGTGCTTTGATGAATTCTGAAGCTGTGACGTTTTGACGTTCAACAGCTGAAAGCTGAAGCTGATAAAAAAACAGTGTTACAACAAATGTGCTGTCTGCTCTTGTATTGCTGCTGATATTGTAGAAAATCACATCGATTATCTGTACATATGTATAGCAAACATGACTAACATAGCACCTTCGTGTGTGTGCTCGCAGGTTCAAATCAGCACCGGTTTAGGCAACGTAACTGAGGCACTGCAGTCGGAGCGAGCCGAGATCGCTTTCTTCCTCTTCACCAACGGCTCTGTGATCCGGAGAAACCTTTCCGAGCACTTTCAGTACACCAATCAGCTGCTCGACGACCTCAAGTGGCCAAAATTTCGCATCGGAGACCAGCTCTTCCAAAACAAAATCCTTTTTCGCATTCGACTGGACGATTTCAGGGATAAGATAACTCGTTTTGATACGCCTTCGATTGACGCCGGCATCCAATTCTACAACCGAGCTAACTACATTTTCCTCGACCAACTTACCAGGGAGATCAAAGAGAAGGATGCATCAGGTAAACAAAGCCCGGGACACAAGAAACTTCCGTTATCTACACTTTTTAGAATTACTGATTTCTGACGGCAGCTAGAGTTGGACAGAGGGCAGATAGGCAAGAAAACATGAACTGTGACAAAGGGTCATTTGATTCCTAGGCGGGCTGCAGTAGCGGCGGAACACCTTCAATTAAGGGGGGGGGGGCACTGCTGACTTTTGGTCCCATTCTTTCCATGCAACGCCAATAGGGCTAATGTTAAAGTGCCAAAATCAAAGGGGGGCACGGTGCCCCGGTGCCCTCCCCGTTCCGCCGCCTATGGCGGGCTGAGCGCTAAAACATCCATTCATGTGAGTGATTACTTAGGATTCTTTAGCTTGCAGTCCAGTGGGACCTGATTTGTCACTTGACGCACACACGCTCGCCTTCAGGAGTTTGGCGACCACTGCTGGCTTACAAGAACCTGATTCGCGCCATAGAACACCTGGGCATCAGCATGGTGTTTGGCGAGGAGTACTTCGGCCGGGGTGACCTCGACCACAACAGCTACCTCAGCTTCGTCACCAACGACGCCCTCGGTCAGGACTTTCTCAACGCCAGCAAGAGCTTCGCCTACTGGATCAAGGACAGGTGGGACCGGACGCCGCCGGGAAGGTGGTCATTGGCCGTTTTCACGACGGCCATCTGGGGCATATTTGATGTAGATTATTAATTATGTGCACATTTGGTGATGATTTGGTTCAACTCAGCTTCAGTGTGTTTCTTAGTAGCTGTCAGCTAGGGTTGCACTGATTGTTTATATACTTGCCTTGTCATATCATCAGACATTGTCATCGAGTAAAACCGTGAAATAAATTCATTATATGAAGATATTTGTTATCAAAGAGATTAGGTGCAGATTAAGTGAGAATGAGGTGCATTCGCCAGATAGCCCGTCGTGAAAACGGCTATTACGCGCGGAGTGTCCGGCCTCTTGGATTCTTATTTTACGTGAGGGTAATCAGACACGTGTGTTTAAATAGTAAGAGCTGTCCTTTTTTAACAAGGCAAGTAGCTGTCTGTTAGCTATGCTGTTGGTCGGTGAGTGAGACGCGGTAACTGACTGACTGAGCCGGCCGCGGCCGTCAGGTACCAGCTGCTGCAGTACGACTACCCGTGGTACTCCAACATCACACGGCGCAGGAAGGAGATCGTCACCCGAGTCAAAATCGAGCCCGACTTTGAAAAAGCCACCGAGTACTTCTACGCCATGCTCGGCTATCTGGATTCCTTACAGAAGATACAGTATGAAATCAGGGGGAAAATTGAGAAGACCATTCTTTCCGAAGTAAGTTAAGAAGTTCCTAATATTATAAGATACCCTTCTCAAGCATATTTTTCACTGGACTTAACAAGCATATCTTCAGTGACAGTGATGGACGGCTAGATAGTTTACATCTGAGTGAATCAACCTCGATGATATTGTTTTTACTCTTTTTTTCTCGATTTAGACTAGATATGTCAATCGGATACCAACTTTTTGATATAGGTACCGATACCAAACCGATTACCAACTTGGTATTTGGTATTTAAATCCTTATGTGTTTGGTATTTTGTTGGTATCATGAACCCTCACTAATGTATAAAAGGCTGAGAAGTTGGTAAGAAGTTGGTAGGGTAGCCTGGGGCAAGACGCCCCAGATAATTTATTTTGCTACATAAATTTTGTCCCACATCACCTGAAAGGCCAAATTTGTGCTCAATGCGTTCTTTGGACATTTTACTTTAAATTGCACGCCTCAAATTGATTCACTTATGATCGGACTCCAAGCTAGGAACTGAAGTGATTTGTGAAGCAACTGCAAATGGGGCATTTTGCCCCAACCCCAGGGCAAAACGCCCCACGGCCTGGGGCAAGTAGCCCCATACCTTAGATTAAAGATTTAACATGGTAGTTGGCTAAATCTTATGTGAGAGGTCCGTTAGACCTCTGGAGGCACGGCACTGAAGTTAGCACATTCCATCCTGTCAGGTGCTCAGCATATGACACTGTTGTATGAGAAGGTTTTTCACCTACCTCATAAGACCAAATAATAAATTATTGCAATGCAAATGTTAACAAAATACTTCCTTTGCCATTCAGTTGCTGAGAAAAATACACATAAAGGCACAGAAACTTACTGTTCGCCAGCTACCGAACATTAGAAAGTGGGTAGCCCCAACAACACAAGAGGTAAAACGCCCCAGGGGCTTTTTGCCCCGCGACCTACTGGGGCGTTTTACCCCATCACGTAGTTCGGTCAGAGAACAACGCCTTGCACTCCAGTAAGACATAATTTAACACGAACCAACCCGGCATGATAAGCGTTAGACAATAGTTGTTCAAAATACATAAAAGTCGTTAACCTAATGTGGACCATAAAAGAACGCCATGATTCATAATCTGACAACAAAACATAAAAATCACTCAAAAAACACATTTTTTGCTATATCTCCCGAAAGAGTCATCACAATTTATTTACAGTCTGCTCATATAATGATCATATAGTGCACGTTTTATAGAAGAGATGATGTTTCCCCAGAACCCTGCCAGTTCCGAGAAACATCGGTGAGGCGTTTTACCTCGGCGGGGCGACTTGCCCCGGTCTACCCTATTTCCCTCATTTTTCCAAGTTGGTTTGGTTTCGCTATTTCTCCATGGTTTTGGTTGGTAGGTATTTGGTTTGGTTCCTATCGGTATTCCGATTTTCCGTAACTGACATCACTAATTTAGGCGTGTCATGGAAGCGTAATGATTGTCGACATTTGACCTGAAAATCGGTAAAATTTGGCCTTCAGTGACTTCTGGTGACCTGACCCTTGAAACGACAAAAATGACCTATATAATTTCGTCATTATTTTGACGCTTTTTCGAACGCCGCCTTCCCCGTATCGCTACGTAGCCCAGGACCCGAGTTAAAAGGGGGTGTTCAAACCCCCCCCCCCTGCAAAAAGGCGTGGAAACCCAGGACCCCCAGCGGTGCGCGGGTTGAACGTTTAAAACCACACGGACTGTAAACGCGCGAATAATGTGAGTCGACATACGCCGGATCGCGATTACGGCCAAACATGGTCGGGAAAAGTAGGTCACAGGTTAAAAGTCATGTCAGGATCATGAAATTTCAGAGTAGGTGTAAGATTGATTAACTCGAGGATACCAGAGTTTCGTCGTGATCGGCCGGATTTTGCGCGAAATATTCGGGAAAAACCGAGGGGGGGGGGAAATTCGACGCCCCTCCCCCACATAAGTGCGAGGATTAATTTAAGTTTTTTTTTTAAAGGGACCCTCCCACCTTCAAAAAAGTTAATGAATTGGCATGAAAGTGATGTCGCTCGGTTCAGAAAGAGCAAAAACGCATATCTACCAAATTTCATCGAAAAATATTCACCGGTTTTCAAGATATTAGACTTATACTTTTGTTTACTTTTTGGGATCTCCGCTGTTCCTAGCGACTTTATTTGAAAGTGCGGCATTTGTTGCGCGCAAAGCAGCATATACCACCGCGTGCTACAAAACGTTTTAGTCAAACATTTAACGGACGTTCGAAAGCCTGATGACGTCATCAGATTCCCGTAATGGTTAAGAGATAGGGACCACGCTGGTCCCACCCTGCAAGTAAAGGGAAGAAATTTCTTGAACACCATAAAGCTGCGGGGGTTGCGACCAGGATAAATGGTGGTTTCTGAGCCTGGCCGCAAACTTGGCTATCTCAACTCAAAACTAATGTTAAGGTGGGAGGGTCCCTTTAAGAATCTAAGAGACGTCGCTCCACTTTTCCGGGATCGCGTTAAATTTATGTATGACAAGGTACTGACAAGTGACAAGTTGAAGTAGCTGTCTAAAACGCTCAGGAAATATTAGCAAAAACGAGACAGGCAGATTCTGACCCCTTCCCCTCCCCCCCCCCACACACACACAGCGGGGCGCGGGTTAACTATTGAAATGTAGTTCCAAACGTCAACTGGGTGTCAGATGCTGCCGAGTGTCGCAGCGGGCCCACGCTGCAGATGGCTGGGCGGCTGGTCACGGCGGCTGCCGGTGCGCTGTCGGCAGGTGCGCGCCTCCAACAGTCACGTGGTGATCGGCATCATCCTGCTGGTGGTGGTGCTCATCATCTCGCCGGTCATTATCATCCTGGTCAGGAAGGTGACGCGCACACTGCAGGTCAGCTCACGTCCCCTCAGCTGGCTGGGGTACGGCTTAGGCTGACTATCGCTCTGTTTTTGATGCAGTTGAGTAGGCACAACCAATTAGCCGTTTCCACGACAGGTTATCCAGGAAATGCCCCAGATTTGACCAAACTTGCACCAAATGCGACCAAATTTATGCCAGATCACGCTTTTATAGGCCGCCCCACACTGGACCTGGCATGCGGGTTGCGAGTTTGCGGGTTTTGAGTTTGCGGGCATAATACTAATTCATAGAGTGATTAGACCGTTCCCTTAAGGCAACTTTATGAATGCAATGAAGCCGGTACACCTTCAGAAAATTACATATAGTCGCAATACCAGCGCAACGAACCAAAATTCGACTCCAACGAAAAACCCGCAAACCTCGCAGACCTCGCAGTGAGGAAAATCGAAAGTTGACTCAAAATCAACTTTTGGAATGCGATGCAAGGTCGCTCGCAAGCTAAAAACATGCAGACTCGCTTATTAGATGGTAGTGTGGGTCACTCAGCTTAGATTGTATCTTTTGATTTTGAATAAACCCGAAAACCCAAAAACTCGCAACCCGCATGCGAGTTCCAGTGTGGGGCGGCCTTATGACGGGAAAACGCGCCTCTTCCTACGAACTGGATCAACATAAGAAGCACGTCTATTTATTTCGAAATGTTACGGCATTTGCATTGAAGTTGCATTACGTTTTCATAGGTCAAGTAATAATAGTTACGTCAAGTCCTCTCCCATTGAGCGCATTCTTCACCTCGAGGCTGGCTACAGCCAAGTTACGGCCTCAGACCTCAGTTCAGAGACACTTGGTGGCCAGCGAGATGGTCCAGCTCACGTTCACCCGGTGCACAGTTTCTCAGACAGCTATATGACCTATGACAAATACGCCACCCTTGCAGGCCTTCACTGAAACGTTACAGTACAAAACGTACGAGCTGCGCTACGAGAAGAAGCGTTCGGACATGCTGCTGTACCAGATGCTGCCGCCCACGGTGGCGCAGCAGCTGAAGCAGCGGAAACAGGTGTCCGCCGAGACGTACCAGTCGGTCACCATCTACTTCTCGGACATTGTCGGCTTCACCGAGCTGGCCTCCGAGAGCACCCCGATGCAGGTTCGCCCCCCCCCCCCCCCCACCTCGTCCCCAAGTCATTGGTCAACCTTCCAGGTCAGGTCCATGGTCCAAAAGTCGGGAAAATCAGGACCCGCTAGAACTCCGTATCGTGTGATTGTCATGGAGCTTTTCGGAGTGCTGATTACCTTGGATGTTATTTTTTTTTATCAAAAATGATGTAGGCATTTATGCATTTGGGGAAGGTCAGGTCGGGTCGGGTCAGATCAGGTCAGGTCAACCAGTAGGAGAAGGTGGGGGAAGACGGACCAGTTAAGGTTTTGAAGCCACATATCTTGCTACCCTGCTCTCCAACCTCATATTATTTATAGTCTCCGGAATGGTGATTCATTCCTCTTTTGGTATGTGCAGAGGCTGGATTTTCAATTCAAGAAATGTAGGTGGTGGTTGCTTTAACCCGCGCCCCGTAGGACTACCGGCGGACCCTACCACCCGTAGGGGGGGGGGGGGCGTTTCGACCCCCCCCCCTAAGATCTTGGAAATTTACCGGCCGATTTTCAAAACTCAAACGGCGTTCGATAGCCCCACCGGGGAACTACCTTGTGACCAAATTTCATTGATCTAGGTCAAACCGATGACGTCACAGGTCAGGTCAAAGGTCAGATTTTCACCGTTCACAGGCATTTCAAGAAATGTGTTGTGAAATCGAATAAATTGGTAATTTATTGAAAACGATCGATGGTACATTGTTCGTCAAACACATACTTCGCTAACTGAGGTCACTGATACCAGGTCAGGTCACAGAGGCCAAGTCACTGGGGGTCACAATATGAAAGTGTCGTGTGATACCTACATGTTTTATGGTCCATTTTACATGACATATGCGATTATGTGGGTCAGGCAGCCTTTGGGGTCAGTTAAGATTATGTTCCGGTGAAGGTCAGGCCAAGGTCAGGTCAAATTCGGTCAAATTTCAAAGTTGATATTTTTGCATAAAATGGGTATTCATTCGATGCAGCTCGTCATGGGGAGTCCAATGGTGGTCTTTGTTTTGCCCTACGTGGTCTAGAATTGCCATAAATTGAGTTTGAAAATTTGACGTGATCATTTTTGAACAGTTTTTTCGCTATAACTTGGCCAAAAAAAAGGAGATATCGATCTGAAATTTGGTATGTAGATAGAAGAAGGTAGGTACTATCACATATATTCCGGTTTTTCGAAACTCCAAAAACTTTTAGATTTTTGGCTAATATATCTAAAAAATTGCATTTTTTATTTTTGCAAAAATTGCATTTTGACTTCGCAACGCCCTCACTGCCAGAGGAGCTTTCACAGGGAGATGAAACTTGCAGGATCTAGTATCCATTACGAGTCTCACAACTTGTATATCTCGGATTTTTCCTTCAGGTCATATGAGGTCAGGTCCTTTCCGTGACCTCACCATTAGGTATCAGTCAATGGGGAAAAATGAAAACTGCTATTCTGGCGTCGGGAACGATCTCCGACTATCTCAAGCACACAGAATCGTGATTTGATGCACTCCTTGCAAGGTTAGATGCGTCACTTTTGCAATGTTGACCTTGCGTGACGTCATATGTGACGTCATCAAGGTTATGTTCGTTTTTCGTCAATAACTCCCGATCAAATTGGGCTAGCGAGTCGGAAAGGCACCAATGGACTCAGGAAGACCTGCCGAATCGAATGATATGCGACATGACCTCTTTCGACCAGCTTCGTGACCTGGGGGCGCTGACCTGACCGTGACCTGAGGTCAACACCTTAAGTTGACCTGACCCAAACAAAAAGTACGTATATCATTCGACGCGCCTGAGCGAGGCGAACACGATGCTGCTAAAATCGCGGCTCTGAGGCCGTTTTTTTGCGAAGTTATTCACAAAAACTGAACCGTAGGTACCTTGGGGCACTTGACCTGACCTCAGAGATCACCGGTCGACCAAGGACCTTAAAATCGGGTACCAATTTCTGCGTCTCTTAACGGCGCACACGCTCCTTTTTTCCGCGACGCGCTAGCTCCACCAGGGGCGAAACGGCGAGGGGGGTCGTACCCCCCCCCCCCTCGGCCGTCGCGTATGTAGAAAACCAATAGGTCCGGCGAGGGTTAAATGTGGCTGGCCGATGACGTCACTTGTTCGCGAACACAACTTTCCGTTAACACATTGTTAATGTTCCTTCAGTTGAAAAATTAAGCCGACACCAAACCCTGCTCATTTTCATTGCGAACGGCGAAGGGGACTGCAGTTCCCCTTTCCCTCCCCATCACGGTACACCCTTTGTACGCATTAAAGTCCTAAAAGTGTTAGGACACCATCACCGACACAGCTCGCGTTGTGTAGTGGTTATCACATCTGCTTTACACGCAGAAGGTCCTCGGTTCGAACCCGAGCGCGAGCACGTTTTCTTCATTGACCGGGAGGTCAACTGACTCCTCAGCAAATATCGTTCTTCATTGTAGTGGTAGCCCCCCCCCCCCCCCCAGGTGAATTCACCGACTCATCCAACTCACATGACAAACTGTTTTCAGGTTATATCTTTACTAAACGCCTTGTACAAGATGTTTGACTCCCGCATAGAATTATACGACGTTTACAAGATAGAAACTATCGGCGACGCCTATATGGTAGCCTCTGGCGTACCTCAACGAACACAAGGTGAGCCTCTTTGTAGATATAATTCAACTCTCTGACTGTGAAGGACTTATGAAAATTTCATTCCTCCTAGAAAGTAGGCATAGTCGTGTTAAATTACGAATCGCGTCGGTATGCAATACCTACGTAATACCAAACTATGGCCAAAGTACGTTCCCAGAACAAATTACGACTCATGTCGCTATCGGGTGAGCTAAGAGCGTAAGAAAATAGGCTGAAAACAAATCATCATAACCTTCACTACATAGAATCGCCATTTTGATGCACCTTGGACAGAAGGATCCCAGTGATCGTACGCTGTGTATGCTCCTTGCCCTCCCGTCCAACATTTCATATAGATGACGCCACTATAGAGCAAACCAGGCATCCTAGCGTTATAGGTGACGCCACGAGCGCGTCAGCCGCCCGTGGCCGATTGAGCGATGTTGGCTGACGCGCCGGTCTGCGCTCCCTCAGAGCTGCGCTGTGACGACAGTCTGGAGCGTCTCATTTTCACCACGCCCTGCTACAAAATCATGGGCCACCACCGACTCGGTAGGAGCCGCCCGGTTGCGTTGTCGAAGCGTCGCTCAATCGGCTCTGGTTCCGGCGCGTTTCCACAACGCAATCCAGCTCGCCCTCGCGAGCCCGCGCAGACATGCGTCTCATTCCCGTCATATGAACCATAGCCGACAAATGAAACAAATCCAATGCCACAACTCTTGATTTACCCTAAAACAATAAATTCAGCCTCATAACATTGTCGCTTGTCGTGAATGTGGCGCATGTCTGCGAGCACGACTAGTTTTTTTAAGTTTTAAGATAGGAAAGTTGTCTAAGAGGCAATTTCTAATAATTACAGCACTTTCCGCACATGTGAGAATTGCACTCTGCAGTAAGCCCTGCCAAACTCCGACAATCTTTTTTGGTTAGAACTAAGCTTGATGCCAACGTCGTGGCAGCAACCCTCTCCACTACACCGTACGTCATTAAGCTTTTCAGGGAGAGCTGGCGTAAAAAATCACTTTATCATCGTGACAAGCATGCTCCCGCCTCCTGTGGAGCCGTGCCGGCCTAACCCCCCCCCCCCCCTCGTCCGCCCGACCTGCAGGCAAGGACCACGCTGCCGAGGTGGCCTCCATGGCGCTGGACCTGCTGCACGCCACTGAGAACTTTGTCGTGCCGCACATGCCCGGCGAGCGGCTGCAGATCCGCATCGGCATCCACACGGGGCCCGTGGTGGCCGGCGTGGTGGGCACCAAGATGCCGCGCTACACACTCTTCGGCGAGACGGTCAACGTGGCCAGCAAAATGGAGGCCACCGGCCAGCGTAAGCGGACGGGCGGGGCCGGGTCCAGAGGCCGGCTGGGGGAGGGGGAGCGGGTCCAGAGGCCGGCTGGGGGAGGGGACCGGGTCCAGAGGCCGGCTGGGGGAGGGACCGGGTCCAGAGGCCGGCTGGGGGCGGGACCGGGTCCAGAGGCCGGCTGGGGGAGGGACCGGGTCCAGAGGCCGGCTGGGGGAGGGGGACCGGGTCCAGAGGCCGGCTGGGGGAGGGGGACCGGGTCCAGTGGCCGGCTGGGGAAAGGGGAGCGGGTTCGGCGGACGGGCCGGGTCGGGTCAAGCGGCCGGCTGGGGGAGGGGGAGCGGGCTCGGCGGACGGGCGGGTGCGGGTGCAGAGGCCGGCTGGGGGAGGGAGTGGGTTCGGCGGACGGGCGGGACCGGGTCCAGAGGCCGACCGACCGACCGGGGCGGGTGGACCTGGTCAGCTTATGTAAATTATGCAACCAGCTAATTATGGAGCACAATTGGAACACCGCGCAAAGCTCCGGCCTGTGTCACTCTGCGAATGTAACTTACACTGCCCCCCCCGTCCCCCTGCCGCTGATCGGCGAGCCGCAGCGTTCAAGATCCACATCACGGCGGCGACTAAAGAGGCGCTGGACCGGGCCGGCGGCTTCATCGTGAAACTGCGCGGCGAGATGGAGATCCGGGTCAAAATGGCCGACTGGGTAAGAACCGTGACAAACGGGGCTGGGTGAGAGCCGTGACACTCGGGTCCGGGGACTGGGTGGGAGCCGTGGCTGTGGTGGTCCAGAGACCCACCACGATACTGCAGAGCGCCACCCCGGCCCGCCGAGCCGTGCCTCACATGCCCCCGCTGCTCCAGGGTCGCGCCGGCTCGCAGACTGGAGCCATGGAGACGTTCTGGCTGATCGGAAAACACGGCCGCCTGCCGGAGCGCCGCGTGGACTCGGAGCGCGAGGACGTCATCGACCTGATGGCCGAGAACCCGCACACGGACGCGCTGCGACGCGAGCGCCAGAAGAAGAAGGAGCAGGACAGCCACAAGCAGAGCGCGTTCGCCCGCGCCCTGGAGAGCCTCAGGAGCCGCCTCACCGGCTGACCTCACGGGTACTATGGGCTGACACAGCCGCCCTTCCAGCCGGAAATATAGCGGGAAAACGATATTGTACAAAGACCAGCAGGGGAGTGATGGCCCCGTAATAAGTCCGTGGCTCTGTGTTGATTGTGATAGTGCATTGTTACTCTCTTGGTGGTAACAGAATATGAAGGCAGCCGTGTCTTCGAGAGCTCACCTAGGATAGATGTGCTTTTTCTTGTTGCTATGGCAATTACTGAAGGACTTGGACGCCAAGCGATTCGGCAGCAGACGTTTGCGCCGTGCGAGCATCTTATGGGTGTGAGTGTGTTGTAACGAGACACCGGGCAACGGACGGCGACCCTGACCCGCTCCCACCCACGTCGACGCACGGGGACACGGGCCCCTGTCGACGCCGCAGCAGTCACCGTAAGGCAGGCACCACAGTACAAACTGTGCGTGCGCTGGGTGTGACGTAGGTACGTCCGTGGTAAAATGTCCGCCCGCGTCAGTGTTCTATGTGCGCCCGTCGCTGGGATGTCGTGCGCAGTGCGCGCTCAGAGGGACCAAGGATGTCAAATGTGTGTGTGTGTTTCACCCGACTAGTGTAAGTCTCGTGTACGGGCTCCGTGCGGCGCGTCTGGGGAACTTCGGTCACACAGCGGCGCAATGTGTGACCCAAGTCCCCCAGGGTGTTCGCGAATATACTCTGTATCGGAAACAGACCCGCCTTTCACACCACCCGGGAGGGTCGGATTAACCCGGGGGTGCAAATGCAGCGGCTCGCAGCAGGGCCGCTCCCGGCTCCCGTCCTCATGCGGGGCATCCCCAAATGCGAACGGCCAGGATATTTTAAACAAACTCATCGCTCCGCGGACCGAGTAGCAGCGTGGTTTTCGGGGTCTTGGTAGCAGCAACGAATACTACAGCATGCCCCGTAAGGCAGCGAGCACTTTCACGGCAGGGAATATGAAATATCGACGCTACAAACGCCTGTGTATTGGGTGAAATATGGAGCGCAATGAGATGAAACAACAACGGTGATGGTGATGAACACAATCATGGAGGACATTCGCCTCGTAGCTGATAACGCGTGAAGGCACACGCCAAAGGTCCTTACAATGAGCAGCCTTGTGGAATTACGAGTGGCCGACGTGTCCCGCCACGGGCCCTGGCCGCCGTCCGGAGGGCGGTCCCGCCCAGTGAGGCGCGGCGGCCCCTGGACGCCCGAACACCGCGCACTGACCGACTGCTGGAGGGATGCACACGGCTGTCATGGGGCGCCGGACGTGGACGGAGCACCGAGCGGGGGCGCAGCGGGCCGCTCAGCCGCTCAGCCGCGGTCAGCGGGTCCGCTCAGTCGGCCGTCGCAAAACGTACACCACGGGCCCAGGTCCACACCTGAGGACAAATGTAGCACATCAGTACAGAGCGACACCTAAACACCACCCCTGGCAATTATATAGCAATACAAACGAACAAGCCGGCTCCGTGTGACTCGAAACAGTGTCAACGTGATGCCAGGGCACATTACGCGTCCTTTTAGGGCAATGTCGACCATCTGCTACCGACATGTGTCCATCAACAAAGCACTTAAGGCTTCACTCTATGTGCCGCCCTCACCGGTCTCCGCCTGCGTGCTGTGCACGGCGAAGGCGCCGCACTGCTCACAGCGCCGGTAGGGCACCGCGTCGCAGAGCGCCAGCGTCTGGCAGCAGACCGGCAGCCGGTGGCCGGAGTGACACTCGGCCGTCAGCGTGGTCAGACGGGCCACCCGTGTGCAGCCGGTCAAGGAAACAGCCGCACAGTACACCGCACCCCTCCCGGCCCAGCACCATTGGGGGTGTGGATTGAATGTTTGTGTGTTGGGGGTGGGGGAAGTCGAGCCAGGTCAGCGACACATTGAGCTCGGCGGTAAGCAAAGTATTAACAAAAACTACATGAAAAGGCCCTTTGAAGTGTTCTTTGCCAGCCTATCGATGAAGTACGTCATCTATAGAGCAGTTGTTAAAAGGGAAATAAACACGAAAATGCAAATCTAGTTTAACTTTTTAGAGCTAAATATCGTTCACTTGACAAGCCATTACTTGAGGTTTCCTTGTTGAAAATTTGCTAAAGAAATGGGCAAACCAACCAACAACCACGCATGCTGAATTCAGCAGTGCATGACGTCCATTGGCTGAGGGCATATCAGCAGTTCACGCTGAGGCCTATTTGACCAGGGCGGTCAGTAAAGGATATTGTCCTGGCAGACTCCGCAGGGTGGCATGACGTCCGCCAGTTCGTCCAGTCGGCCGGGCGAGCTGAGCGCCACCAGGGCGGCCGCGCGCCGCGCGAACGCCGCGGCCGCGGCCGACTCAGCGCGGTCGGCGCGCGCCAGGGCGGCCGCCATGTGCGCGCGCAGCAGGTACCCGCGCAGCAGCTCTGTGTACTCCGACTGCGGGCAGCGGGCGGGCAGTTACCCCACTGCGGACAGGGGGCGGGCAGTTACCCCACTGCGGGCAGGGGGCGGGCAGTTACCCCACGGCGGACAGGGGGCGGGCAGTTACCCCACTGCGGACAGGGGGCGGGCAGTTACCCCACGGCGGGCAGGGGCGGGCATTACCCCACGGCGGGCAGGGGGCGGGCAGTTACCCCACTGCGGCCAGGGGGCGGTCAATGGGGCGTTAGCTAGGCAGAGAGGAGAGAAGACAGATCGCTTGGAGCTAATACTGGCCATAGATCCTGGAATCGGCACAACTCAGCAGCGATCCCCAGCTCGCGGCGGGCCGGCAGTCCGACACCAGAGGCGGTCTCAGTGGCGCCTATTCCACCGGTCCGTCCCGGTCGGAGCCTCTCGTGCGTCACCCACCATTCCGGCTGAGTCGGCGTCGGCGGCCGTCTGCCCGCGCTGGGCCCGAGACGCGCACGCCATGAACAGGGTGCACTGCAGGTGGCGCCGGGACTGCCGCGCCAGCATCTCCTCGTCGGCCGCCACAGAGAACGGCGACCGGTCCACCAGCATGGTCAGCCTGCCGGCCAGCGGGCTGTCAGTACCGGGCCTCCAGCAGCGTCCCGGCACCCCGACACCCCGCGCCCCAGCATCGTCAGCCTGCCGGCCGGCGGGCTGTCAGTACCCCTCCAGCAGCGTCCCGGCCGCCCGACACCCCGCGCCCCAGCATGGTCAGCCTGCCGGCCAGCGGGCTGTCAGAGCCCCTCCAGCAGCGTCCCGTCCCGGCCGCCCGACACCCCGCGCCCCAGCAGAGCCCACTCACCGGTGACGGTGCGGCCGATCACCCTGACACACCACAATGCCGACATCCTATCAGAAACAGCTAGGCACCTCAGGGCGTGCTAGGGGCGGCTCAGATAGGGAGACAGCAGGACCCGCCACAGCCCTGTCCAGTGCGCGCTGAGGCGTCCCACCGGAGCCGTGTCCAGTGCGCGCTGAGGCGTCCCACCAGAGCGCTGTCCAGTGCGCGCTGCGGCGTCCCACCGGAGCCGTGACCCACTGACCTGGCTGCCTCCAAGGTGTCTGCCAGCCGGTGCAGCGGCGCGGCCGTGTCCAGCGCCGCGTTGAACAGCGTGTCCAGCGGCCGCTCCAGCAGCGTGAAGCTGACGCGGATCGGCTCTCGCAGCACCAGGTGGTCGTAGTAGTCAAACACCCTGCCGGGGCACACCGGAGCGTCAAACACCCGACCAGGGCCGCGGCCGAGCGGCACTCGGCCAGTTGACAGCCAAATCCCCGAGCAGCCAATCTGGCCCTCCCCGGCCGCGGCCACTCCTCTAATCACACAGCCCCTCCGAGAGCCGCAGTCAGTACCCGGAGCCCGTTGGACCTGTCTGCCCGCCCGCGGTCGCTGCCCACCTCTCCACCGTGCACACCATGGCGCTGTTGGGTGAGGCGGCCAGCGCGTGGCACGAGTAGTGCACCGGGTCGAGCAGCAGCGCGGTGGGCGCCGCCGTCAGCTCCAGACCACCGTCGGCGCCCGTCACCACCAGCTGGCAGATCTGGTTGTAGAGGGTGGAGACGACCGCCCGGCCGGGAGCCAGCAGCGACAGGCCTGCCGGCGGACGCGGCCGGTCAGGGGCGCGCCGCCGTCCACAAACAGCCGTACACGCACATCTCGCAATACACACGTCTGTCCGTGACCCAACACTCTCCCATTTGACTCAGCAGCTCAGCGGCCCTTTGTTTCACGGCTGCTGTGACCCGACCTGAGCGCACCTGTCACCTGAGCGCCCTCCAGCCGGACGAAGGCGGAGCCTGTGACGGCGGCCGTGTTGCCGGCGAGCGCCAGCCGCAGCGCCACCACCGCGAACCCCTTGGCGAGCAGCACCACCGGGTCGGCGCCGCAGCCGGCCGCCACCACACTGGTCACCTGTGGCGTCACAAACAGACGGCGCTGACGTCACTGCACGGAGGCTGACGTCACTGCACGGAGCTGACGTCACTGCACGGAGCTGACGTCACTGCACGGCAGGCGCGGACGCCGGGCACGGGACGAGGCACGGACGGGCTACCGAGGCTATGGCGAGCAGCGGCGCTGAAGAAAAACATGAATATCACAGTGTCAAACCATCACTCCCCGACAGAGAGTACCACCCGGCCGGTTTGCGAGCGTTCCCGTTCTAGTTTGGTGGCTGGTTTGGCTAGTGGCCGCTGCGGCCGGGCCACTGACCGCCAGCTGGTCGTCGTCGGTCACCAGCGGCCAGGGGTCTGTGACGGTCACCTCCTCGCCCAGTCCCAGTCCGAAGCCGGTCAGCCGACCCGAGAGCCGGCCCAGCAGCAGCACACCTGACGGAGCGGCGCCGGCGGGCCGTCAGCGACCACCCGACGGCGGCAACACACGGGGCTCGACAATGGCACAGCACCTAGCAACGCCATACACATTACGGCGAACAAAACACCAACAAACGGCGCAAACGACTGGCGAATTTCCCGAGAGGCTGACATGTCTGTAACGTAAAACAATACCATAGGAAGCGAAATCAAAAGACTTGATAGTGTAACGATTAGAGCTGAAGTAAACGAGACGAGCATTAACAAGTGGCCGCACTCTAGTGCAGAGGAAAACGATAAAGTAATTCAGACCATATTCATTCATCGTCCTTGTCCGACCAGGTCAGAGAGTTGGAGTTGGGCGTCCCGGGTGCCCTCTGCCCGGTGCTGCCCGGACCGGGCGGTGGTGGACTGACCCGAGTCGAGGCAGGTGACGCACGTGACGCGATCCTCGGGCTCCGAGAGCGACCAGTAGGAGACGAGGCGCGCCTGGTCGGCGCCGGCCGCCAGCCGCCAGACGGCCACCTGGCCCGACCGCGTCACCGTCACCAGGTGGCAGCGCCGCGCACCGCCCGCGTCCGTCGTCACCGGCGTCCAGGCCATCTCTGCCGCACCAGTCCGTCAGTGGGGCCGGTCACACGCGGCGGATAACATGCAACTAACGTCCTAACGTTTACAGCACCCATCCGGAACACTCACCTCCATGACTGGACCACGTCCGCCCCGCTACTTCGATATTTCATCGGGCATAGCGTCCGCTAAATATGTCACCCACCGATGATGGAGAGGGCGTAGGCGCGCCGGCGCACGTCGTCCATGGTTTTGACGGCCTTGGCGGCCGGCTGTGCGTGGTGCCGGGTCCACTGGCGGCTGATCTCGACCATCAGGCGCGCTCTGTCCGTGCGCACCTCGTACACCCGCAGCCGACGGTCCCAGCTCAGTGTGGCCAACAGACAGCTGGGGGCGGGACGGCAGGGCAGAGGGTCACCCCGTGGGGGCGGGACGGCAGGGCAGAGGGTCACCCCGCCGGCGACGCCACTACCCGCCATGTGAGCCTGTATATCAGAAGTAAAACTAGGCATAGGCGTGCCAAAAAAGACGTCCATTAACCCTCGCCGGCACAGGGGAATGCGTTGAAACCCCTACAAGGAGAGTTTTCTGTTCACCAGCCGCCAGCAGCACCTACGACGTCATGTGCTGGTCGGCTCATCTGCTGCGGCGGGGCGGAGTGTGGCGGTGCACGCACCTGTCTGCAGCCGCCATGCCGGGCGGCGACCAGAGCGCCCGCCGGAACCCGGTGAACGTCTCGTGCTGCGCAGTCACCGACATGACCGAGGTGTCCAGGAACAGGTCGGTAGTGCGCTGGTGCCGCTCCCTGCAGATGGCCTGTAGCGGCAGGTCTGCAGCCACAGGCGACGGGCTGTCAGGTACCCCGAGCATGGGTGCAGCTAGTCCAACACGATGGTTCAGTCTAAAGCATGAAAAACAGACCAGACACAAGGCTTTTCGGACTCCTTCATGCAATATACGGCATATCCCTACTATTGTTTTTTCCTACAATGTAGGCTCAATAGCCAAATTTTAAAGATATAAAATATCCAATAATAAAACACATTCCATATTAACCGGCGCCCCGCTGTGGCTTCTGGATTTCAACGCCCTGCTGGAGGGCGGGGAGGGGGGGGGGGTATTCAAACGCCCCTTTCAACTCGGCTCCTGGGTGATGTAGCGACGCGCCGTAGGAAGCGTTCGAAAGAGCATAAATATTAACCCGCGCGGGGCTGGGGGGTAAATTTTACCCCCCCCTCGCGAATTTTTGCAATATCTCAAAAACGGCGGCGCGCAGAGCCGCCAAACTTTCAGTACCTTTTCTTACATCAATTTGACACATTCCCTGAAAACTTGAGCGAAATCCTTCGGATTTTTTTTTTTAGAAAATGACGTTTTAGTGACGTCATGTTCGCCATTTTCGCCTCAAAAACGGCAAAATTTCAAACGCCGCTAACATCTTCATTTTTAAGGAAAATCAAGACGTAACAAAAAAGGTTATACGTGGTTCTATTTTGTGTATCAAGTTGCTATCTCGGTTTTTTTAAAATTTTTGATTTTGGCCCAAATTTTTTCAAAAAACTGACTTTTGGGAAAATAATTATAAAATCCAAAATTTTGCGTGTACCTATCGAAAAAAACCGGAATATATGTCAGAGAAGTGGTCCATGTGCACCTACATACCAATTTTTAGAAGAATAGGTTCTAAAATGTGGGAGTTATTCAAAATTCTATGACGTCACCACAAACAATCTTTTTTTGAAAAATTATTTTTTTGGAAGTTCTAGACCTCGTACGGTAACAAAAATAGCACCATTCAATTCGCATGTGAAAAACTGCATCAGATAGACACCTTTTTAGGCCTGAACAACCAACTTCAAAAATTGACCTAACTTGACCTCGCCGGCCGAGGAGGGGGGGGGCGGGTACGACCCCCCCCCCCTCGCCGTTTCGCCCCTGGTGGAGCTAGCGCGTCGCGGAAAAAACGAGCGTGTGCGCCGTTACGAGACGCAGAGATTGGTACCCGATTTTAAGGTCCTAGGTCAACCGGTGACCTTTGAGGTCAGGTCAAGTGCCCCAAGGTACGGTTCAGTTTTTTGGTGAATAACTTCGCAAAAAACGGCCGCAGAGCCGCGATTTTGGCAGCATCGTGTTCACCTCACTCAGGCGCGTCGAATGATATACTTTTTGTTCGGGTCAGGTCAACTTGGGGTGTTGACCTAAGGTCAAGGTCAGGTCAGCACCCTCAGGTCACGAAGTTGGTCGAAAGAGGTCATGTCGCATATCATTCGATTTGGCAGGTCTCCCTGAGTCCATTGGTGGCTTCCCCGACTCGCTAGCTCAATTTGATCAAGAGTTATTGACGAAAAACTAATATGACCTTGATGACGTCATAAATGACGTCACGCAAGGTCAACATTGCAAAAGTGACGGATCGAACCTTGCAAGGAGTGCATCAAATCACGATTCTGCGTGCTTGAGATAGTTGGAGATCGTTCCCGGCGCCAGAATAGCAGTTTTCCTTTTTTCCCATTGACTTATAATGGTGAGGTCACGAAAATGACCTGACCTCATATGACCTTTAGGAAAAATCCGAGATAGGTATACAAGTTGTGAGACTCATAATGGATACTAGATCCTGCAAGTTTCATTTCCCTGTGACATCTCTGGCAGTGAGGGCGTTGCGAAGTTGCGACATCTGAAGACCGTGCAGAGGTTCACTTATGACGTCATAGGTCAGTGACCTGACCTGACCCAAAAACGCGGTTGGTGTCAAAAGATCCGGCTTGAATCAAAGGTCAGGTATGCCAAGTTTCAGCTCTCTATCGCCAGCGTGTTCGGAGCTATCGCGAAAAACCCCTATGGGGGGGGGCGGCACCCGCCCTCCCCCTCGGCCGGCGAGGGTTAAAGGGACAGTATCACCATTTTGATGAAATTTGACATTGCATAGGCCCCACCTTTCTGGTCCGGGAACTGAAGACCGATCCTCGAAGCTCCACACCGTTATCCCGCTATCGCCGCTCAAAGTACGGAAGGTGTACTAAACTTTGAATCGTGCTTCACTATCTTCACTGTTTAAATGTTTGCGCCGTTTTGAATTGACCGCCAGTAATAAAACTTTTACCCTGGTCATTTCATCAAATTTTATTAAGCCAAAACGTTTTTCGCACTTATTCATCACTGTTAAATTCATTAAATAGTCGTAGGCAATTTCCGCTGTTTCCTTCGGATTCTGGCGGCTCAACAAAGGAATTCCTCCAGCTTGAATCACAATCTCCCTCCAATGTATGACGTATATGTATGACGTCATCTGATCTGCTAAAAGTACTTCACATTTGCTTCAAGTACGAGAATATTGTCACGTGATATCTTCTGGGCAATACCTAATGCTGCCTTTCCCTAACGACAACTCAATCAGAAGAGCGGCCGCGTAAGCGTAGCGTCAATAATGTATTATCTGCGCCAGTTCTGTAGTAATTTCACAGGCTTCCAAAGTGGCGGCCATGCTTGTAGTGGTGGTTCGCTCATGAAAATGACTCGCTCATGAAAAAATATTTTTCACCGAGTTTGGTCCTACAACTATGTTTTTCTGATTCAGAAAAATAAGAAATGCTAGTAAAAAAAAATCAGCTCCATACATTGATTTTTTTTTCGATGATACTGTCCCTTTAAGTACATGTTTTTAGTTGTTCGTGATGAGATCTTTCGATTGGCGTTTGGCGCGTTCGGCTAGAGACCCCAGCCCCGCGCGGGTTAATGAAGAAATTACTTAACCCTCGCCCTGGTAGGGCATTTATCATAACACGGCCTGGCAGGGGGGGTCGATGCGACCCCCCCCCCCATCGCGATTGGCTCCAATGGCACCTAGAAACACCAAATTCGGTAGGTAGGTGGGCCCCCTGGAGTTCTCGCCCCTGTGCAAATTTGGTTGCTCTAGGTCAATATTTAGGGGGGTTTTGGGGGGTATAAATGTAAAAATTTCGCTAAAAACAGGTCAAAAGTTTTTCGCATATAACTTTTGATCTAATTAAGACAGAGCAAAAAGAAAAGCACCAGTGAACTCAGCACGTCAAGGCGCGTCGAATGATATACGTTTTAGCTTGCTTAAGTGTACTTAAAGTTTTTTCTTAAATTTTAAGTACACTTAAATTAATAAATTAAGTTTAAGTTACCCAAATTGCATCATATCACATATCATTCGATTCGGCTGATCACCAGGAACACAATGGTACCATTTTTTAAGCTCTAGCGTCATTATGTGCCAAGTTATTGGCAAAAACGTCATTTGACCTCAGTTGACCTCATTTGACCTGACCCATGGATAAGTACACCAAACAAAGAAGCACCAAGTGACCTGCTGTTGAGTAATGTGGTTTCAAAGCACAAAAGTGATAGAACGAAGCGGATATCTCCAGTATTTTCCTAATTTAGTATTTTCCCATAGGCTTAACATTACGACGTAATGACCTCTAACTGACCTCAGGTCAGTGACCTCAAAAAACCCGAACTATATGTTATACAACTCGGTGAACTTAGCACATCCTGAAAGTTTGAAGGAAATAAGTGCAAAACTGTGAGTTGGACAGGTGCAAAAAGAAATTTGAAATTTGACCATGACCTTGTACCGGTTTTTCTGACCTGGTGACCTGACCTAAGGTCACCCGGACCTGAAATTTTCAGGTCATATGTAAAAAGGTTGCCCCATAGGCTGTGCCAAATTTGGCGGCGCTGCGCGCCGCCGTTTTTTCGCTATCTTCGAAAAACCTTAGGGGGGTCGCATCGACTCCCCCCCTGCCTGGGCGAGGGTTAAGTCACTTTTTAGGTCAGATCAAAGGTCAGGTCACCAGAGGTCACCGAAGGTAGAATTTTGCCACTTTCCAGGTCAAACTTCGATAACTTTCGACAAACCGGCGCATAGCCCTCGCGGGCCCGGGGGGCGTTTTTCGCCTCCCCCCCCCCCTGGCGAATATTTGCGATAGCTCCCGAACGCTTAGGGATAGGAAAGCGAAACTTTCAGTACCTTTTCTCCCATCAATTTGACATCTTCTGAAGTAAAAAATTTGGACCTAGCCCCCTTGATGACGTCACAAGGTCCATTTTTCTAGACCCCTGCACGGCAAACTTCGGCGACACAGACGCAAACTTCAAATAGCTGCTAAAAATAGAGTTTTAGAGATAAAGACAAATTACGAGCACGGTTGTGTAGCATTTGACCTAGAGAAAAATAGAAAAATAGTTTTGGTGACCTGAGGTCAAAGGTCAGGTCAACGACCCCGAAATGTGGTTTTAGTTTTTCGCAAATAACTTCGACAAAAATGGTCCTAGAGCTACGGCAGTGGTACCATCGCATTCGCCTTGTCAAGCCGCGTCGAATGATATATATTTTGTTCGGAAGATGTCAAATTTTATGCTGACCTCATGTGACCTCGAATGACCTCTGGTTGACCTTGACACATGAAAGGTCGTTTATGATGGATTTGTACCCGCTGATCACGAATCTGGCATCTATTTTCCTCTAAGCCTTCATTTAGAGCTTCCGGATGGCAAAATTGTCTTATTTATTATTACTAACTTGAATTAGTGAAATAGCCTCTAGCAGGGATACTATTCAGTGACCTTGACCTTTGAACAGCCTTGTATCGTAAGAGGAACCACAAATAGGGAACTGATAAGCCTCAAAACATTTCAAAACATCTTGAAAGTTAGCACGCAAGATGTGCGAAAAAGTGCCAAGTTTGAGGTCAATTTTGAGCGTGACCTTGACCTTGACCTTTGATTTTGAGCATATTTTCGGAATCCTCAGATTCTCTTCTTTCGTTTGACACCCAATTTTGCCGGTTTGATGCCGCCT